ACATGTAACTCAATAACAGCTGATTGACGTTTTTATGATATTTTATATTGGGGAGTGTTACAAAAATCGATGCACTTACTATTTTTTGATAAAATCGGACAGTAACGAACACCAACGTAAAGTATATACGGAGACCTACATACATTTCTGCTTGCATCTCAGATCATAACCAGCTAAATATTTATATAAACTACGAAAACAACACAAACATTCAATATCGACTTCAGTTCTTTCGTCAGTCTAGCGGGTTTTTCGTGATAATTAAACAAAAGTGATTTTTATAACGTGTCGTCTCCTAAATCCAGAACAGTTAATGTGATTTTGATCTAATTTTATAATGAAGATCCTTACACTTAAGTCCTGCCTGTTTTAAGATATTTACAAGAGAATAAAAAGTTAGAATTAACGAACTGATCATGTACAGGCAATAACACAGTAAAAACATCACAATACTTACGTTGTGCCAATTTCTTTAGGCAAAACGCAGGATTAATATTGGATTTAAGCTTCATGTAGTCTGAAGTGGGGTAGCAATGGGCATTTATATACCTGCATTAAACTCACCATTTAATTTTCGGTACAGATCCCATAATAATGCATAATTTTATAAAAAAAAATCGTCGAGTGATTCTGAAGACGATAACCATGACTAGACAGAGACTATCTTCAAGTAAGTACATTTTATAGTCTTTGTGTCCAAAATGCAAACAAACACAGATGTCTAACTGAAAAAGCACAGTTCGCGATTGATTTACCATCTCAGTGGATTATATATATGTATCAGCGGTTGGATTGCTATCAGATCAACTAATCTAAATACACTTAACTATATTTATTTCCTTTTTGTCTTATAAAAAGTATCAATTATAAACTTATAGCAACGTAAAATAACCTGCAGAACTGGCTTTGGGATTACAAATTACGTAACTTTGTCCTCCAATCTTGTATCAATCGATTGTCCATGTAGTATTAAGCTGACACATTTTAGGTCTACAGTGATACTGAAACGAAAATGCACGTCGAAATTTCAAAGCAGGTTTCACGATATTACAACTAATTTTCTGTTCACTGTTGTGAAAAATACAAACTTACTATACGGGACTCATTGAGAACCGATTTATCGACTTGCCAAATCCGTTGTGTACGATTTCTGTTGAAAGATTTATGGTTTTGACCAGCCACGATATAGCCCGCCTTTATGGAACCTTAGGAATGGATTACTGAGTGATATCACCGAAGGCCAGGTTGAAGGAAAGAGAGGACTAGGAAGAAGATTGATACAGCTAACCGACGACCTTAAACAAGGAAAGAAGATGACGTTCCAGGAATTAAAACGAGAAGCTGAGAATAGGGAAAACTGGAGAGCTCTCGTAAGACAGAACACTGAATAATAATAATAATAAGGTTCAATACTGTGTTCACAAGAATCTGAAAGTGGACCGTCTTGAACCTGTTGAAAACGATTCACACCTTAATTATTTAGCATTCATAATAATATTATTTGCCATTCGACTTACGCCTAGATTAACCAAGTTATCTCTTCCATTGAAGTTTACTAATTACACGTTCGTACATATTTCTGATTTTATTTTCTTCCTTAATTTGATCATCCTAAAAATATTTGTTAACAGCACACATTCCATACCTCCTCTTTAGACATATTTCTCTAGTATCCTATTATTTCCTCTCGCTTAGGTTCAAATATTCGTCTCATCCCCTCCCTCCGTTCTCAAACATCCTCAATCAGTTTCTGACTTGAGGTTTCCACGGCAGAGTCCGAAGATGGCTGCCTTCTGGGTTGTTGCGCTGTGTAGTCTGGCAGAAGTTTACCAACGTATCAGAATCCTTGCTGCCTCCATCATCAGGGCAATCATGGAGGCTGAAACGTTGGTAAACTTCAACCAGACTATATGGCTCAATATCCCAGAATACAACCATCTTAATCCCCAATGAATGTTTTTCCCTTAAGAGGTGTGACAAAGTTGAACTCCCGTATAAAACAAAAATGAACAATTATACGTTTGTAAATTTTAATATTTTATTATATGCCATTATTGTTCGTCTTTAAACAACATTTTATCATTTAATGTCTTAGTATTTAGTTCACAAATGATATGTTTCGGGTTTAGGAACCCATCTTCAGGTCCTCACTTCCCTTCTCGTGCCAATACATCGCTGGATGACGTTGGAAACACTAATTATCTTGGGTGAATACTGAAAATATTTTAATCCGTGTCATATTTCTGTACGTAATAGTATTAAATCAAGAGGTGGAACATACAGTTAAAAGAGGACTTTTAATATGTAGATACTTAGGAGTTTCGAGTGTCGCCAACAGTGCAAAGGTATGAGGACTTGCATATGGGTTCCTTAATCCAAAACATGTCGTAGATGAACTAAATACAAAGATATTAAGTAATAATCTGTAGTATAAATACGGATAATAACAACATATAAGTTAATCATCACATGACATTCGAATAAATTTTTAAAATTATTGTTTTAGATTTGCTATTTATGTGCATATATAAAGAAGAATGCTAATGGTTTTGTAATGTAGAATGAACAACTCTTGTGATACAACACACAACATTAGAAAGTCAAGTTTTCGTGACTTTTCAGTAAGCCGGAAGACACCAGAACGTGATGCAAACAGACACGAGTGTGTCATGTTGCCACATTTAGTAAAACTCTCAGATCAGCCTACTTTCCGCTTTAGAGCGCTGTGGTAACCTGATTTACGATCAGTAAATGGTAACTTGTGACCTGCTAGTGAATTTATATGTGTTGTCGGGTTTTCAGAAAACAAAAACATAACAACGACTGTTCCTGTACGCGTTCGTAAAAGTATATATTTGTTAACGAGTATGTGATTTGAATAATAGAGATAGGTAACAGCAATGTCATTACTAGGCTTCGCTTCAAGGCTTAAGGCAATCACCGGATGACGCTAATTCTGTAAACATGGAAGATATGTGTGATATCACATCCTTTCGCTTCGAGAACTTTAAGTAAGTGGTTGAAGTAGTCCGCTGTTATTTGTACAACAGGGAGGAGTTACAGAAAACAATTTGGTTAACGTGAATGTCTGCGTTATTATCACAGTAAAGAAGCAACTTCATCTTTTAAGAACGCTCCATTTTATAAAACACCAGAGTTCAAAACGGTCACATTCCCTAGTTCAATGTCTAAAATACAAGCTGAATCAATGCGATCCATTTCTACTGATGCCCTGTTTGGACAAAATATGCGATACGTTCTTATAGGAGCCTTCAGATCCCGATATGTAATTGGAATATAAATATTTCATTGAAATTAGGAGTCTAATGGACCATGTCCAGGAATTCCATGATATTACTACATTTTCTGTTAAATCACGTGGCGAAATAAATCAGCGACGGTCAAACAGAAACCATTATTTGTAAAAACAAATCCTACAAGCACTGTAATAGTATATTTGACCTTCAAAGAGTCAAAGGAACTTGAGCTGCTTTGAAGAAGAACGAAAACCGTACGGAAGGTTTTTTAGGCTAAAAACCGCATTGAAATGTCTGGGACAGGAATTAGAAGTTTTCTTGTTACAGCAATGATCGTACTGTGACATGTAGAAAGAAAAGAAGGATTTGGAGATGATGGTACAACACGAACTTAAGTGCGAGCGTAAGCCTCAATCAGCTGGCTAACTGGCTGTACTCGTTGCGCTGTATACCAGAGTATGGTGCACCATTGAACAACGAGAGCATGACAGAATACTTTTTTTTTCAGTATGTTAGCCGGGATAACATGGTGCCGTAGCACATTCCTGTTGGCACTCACAAGAAGTTGACAATGCATATTTTTAATGTCCAGAAAATTTTACGTTTCGTAAAGTTCCTATTATCCGGAGTCCATATTAAAAAATTGTTAGTTTTTCTCAAGACTCCCATCTGAACATAATGGAACGTAAAATAAACTCATCAGAAATCACCACAAATTTTATGCAAAAACATTTTTTTTTACATATCTGTTACTTGGTTGTTTACAAGGGGACATAATTTATGAGTTTGTCGTGTGGTTATCTTTCCAAAAAACAGAGGTTTAGTACCTGCAACGAGCTACATAAAACACAGAGAACGCATTAGGAAATTACGTGTTCTCCAAATCTGAGTACATATTTTCTGTTCTAGCTTTTAACGTGATTTGTGGCAACGTACCGGAAGGATCCTAATAATGCTACAGCTATGGAGAAATTATGAAATCTGATACTGCCAGTCAATACGATGTTGTGAGGAGGAATCAGTCTGGATATTTTAAAACAACATGTAAGTAAACATGATGTGAAGCTAATTATTTCTTCACAGTACATAATGTAGAATTATATTTCTAACAGTTTTTTGTACTTTCATTATTAAATATCTCATATATTTATAAATTCTACAAAACGCCATTTTAATGCTGTCCCGCGCATAGGTTGGACCTTAAAATTGTCCCCACTAAATAATTCCCTACTGTTTAATGTTACTTTCCGAAAAATGTCTTTCTTTTCTAATAAAAAAACTGTCACGAAATTTTAAAAAAAAATGGAAACAAATTTCTTATTATAAAGAACACATTTCTAACCCAAACTGTCTGAAATAAACACTTTTCAGTCATTTTTTTTTCACAAAACACCTTTATAGCTTAATTCTTTCGCAAAGAAAATACTTCATAACTTAATTTTCTCACAAGAAGAAAATAAACTTTTAAATTTGTCACGAGAGATCCTTTTATACCAAATTTGGCTAATGAAGTTCTTCCCTGACTGCGTTTTGCACAAAATAAAACACTTTTCTTGTCTCAAATTTGTCACAAAAACAAAACACTTTTATAACTAATTTTGTCACAAAATGTATCGAATTCATAACTAGATTTTTATCACAACAAATAAAACACAAATCTAACTGCATTTCGTCAAAAGAAAAATTCCTGCACGTCACCCTGTACAGATAAACCCTTCTTCCATGCTTCACACAACTACATACCTTCAGCAGCCTCAACAACAACCGGTCACACTCGCACTACACTGGCGACCCGACTGAAGGACGGGTTGAAGCCAACACTGCGTGCCCGAAGCTGGAGGCGTGTTCTTTATGTATTACTCACCCAGAGGACGAGTTCTTTGATGAATGGATATAATATTACGTCACTGGACCTTGTATTTTTAAACATTTCGTGTAATAAAACAAGTACCATGTGACGGCTGGGGAAATTCTCTTTCAATGCACCGTAACGACGTGCTGTAACAAATGAGATGAAGGCCCAATTCAATTCTTATTTTCATTTCTTACTTAGGTTTCGGATTATATGAAGTGGTTGTGAGCTGAGACGAATCTCTTGACCCTTTGAAGGAAGAAGGCCTGTTAACTGTGCCCTAAGAGAAGGGGGCCACTTTATAAATTGAATTGTTTGTTTAATCTGTTGTGTCTACTTCTGAGACATTCAATTAGATAAAGTTGTTATGCAATAGTAGTTAACCATTTGAAGAAAAAATATTTATTAATTGTGACCTAATCAATTTGACCAAGTTATAATTGAACTGTTTGTTCATTCAGTTGTTTTATGACCTCGTATTAACGACTTGAGGTTTCGATAGCTGCGTGATTCTTAACCTTTTAACACTTCCCATGTTCATTTTCATATGGAACAAATCTTTAATTTGTTTGTGTGTAGTATTCGTGGTAATATAAACATGCTTGTCACTGAATTAACGCCACAAATACGAATTGACAAATACAAGGCAAAAAAGTATTTTTCTAGCATCGTTATGCAACATATTTATTCACAGTAAAAGTGGCTGCTGTTTTTGAGCGAGAAATATCATTAGTAACCTCGAAAAGGGGTAAAGAATAATTTCTGGTTATTATTCCATACACAGTCACTGAGTTCAAATGCTAACACTGAACCATTCAACTCATTTATGAGTCTATTAACAACGTGCTATGGTATCCAATGGCCGTACTCTTGTTACGTATTCTACATGTCTTGGGTTCGAATCTCGATCGGAGCTCGAATATCCTGATTGACGACTTTCGTGGGTTTCCTGAGTCCCTCAGACAATTGGGTAATAACATTTGTATTTCCATGTGCTCCTTGTGATACCTAGATCTTATTTTACTCTGGGAGAATATGCTTATGTTATTTGAGGTATTCCTTTCTACTGCAGACTGTCTAACGCTGTTTCCAATTCGACGCTTCTTTACGTAATCAACTGCTTCTTATTCTCCATTTTATTCTGCATTTTAAGTTTAGGTACTGCAATCGATAAAAATTTGAAAAATATATTATGAGGTTTATTTGGTCTTTTGTAATTATTTCTCATAAACGTGATCGGTATCGTATTTATTCTTATTATCTATATAATTTTTATAGACAAATACACAGGCTGAAGTCAATGACGACCTTATCTGAAATCAGAATTACTATCGCAAGATAATACGTGGTTTCAGTATTTTCGTACAATAAAATGGACCGCTAACTTTTACGTGAGAGTGGATCAATTTTCAATATTTTTATATTTTTGTGAAGTTACATTGGAATGACTCCTTTTTCAAGATTTATAGCCTGACAATACAGGAAAGGTACAATAAGTATCGGAAAACAGTAACTTTTCCTTCCATACGACATTCTGATAGCTCCCAGCCATGTGGGGACAGCGTAAGGATTAAGTCAGCTAGGTTCAGTGTCTCGAATTAATATATTCGGAGAGACGAACGGGCAGGTACCATCAGTCCTACTTTCTTTCATTTTACGCACATCGAGCAAAGAAAGCATGATAATTGATCGTGTTTGAATTGTCTTGATGGACATGCCTGAAATTTTCTCTGATAATGACAGACATGGTATTAGCCATTAAATTTACAAGTTATTACGCGTTTTTTGCACAAAATTCATAGCAAGAAAGCATTTTAAGCTGGCCGTGTCTGTCTGTCCGTCGATCTGTCCAGTCGATTCAACTCGATAACCACTGGACGGATATGAATGAAATTTGATGTGAAGATTGTGCCATTCTTCACGAAGTCAAAATTATACTTTTGAATATCCTACGAGCGGTGATAACAAAAGGACGAATGAGGAAATTCGTGAGGTAGACCCTATGGTGCTGTGATCTGGTGGCCAGAGTGGGAAGTATTAAAAAAAGCGTATTTAATACCAATCGAATAAAAATTTACTTGGATATTATCCATCGTCTAGTAAATATTTTACGTTTTATATTTACTAGACGATGGATAATATCCAAGTAAATTTTTATTCGATTGGTATTAAATACGCTTTTTTTAATACTTCCCACTCTGGCCACCAGACCGCTAAATACACGTTGCAAAGACGCATGAGGAGTGTATATTGCCGTATGGAACACACTTTCAGTCATTAAAGGTTTACCATTAACGCCAGACTCAGGTATTTTTCTCTTTGTCTCCGCGTCCAGATCAGCTTTGGTCCCCTCCAACCCTCTACCCAATGGGTACCAGCGACTCCTTCGCAGAGGTTAAACCTCATGGACATTGATTGAACCTGACCACTCACCTCCTTCTGCTGCCGTGGTTAAGAATCGATGGAGTTTTACTTTCACTCTTGGAATACGTGATGCTTAGTCACGTATCAACTTTACATTATTATCGTCATTACGGTTTCTGATCGAGTAGGCCACGGAATAGCCAATGGGAATCGGAGTCGGTGAGAGCAGGTGGACCTTGCAGTCATTGCGTTGAGTAGAAAAGAGTGGACGCACCAAATACAGGCAATTGGAAGATGGCGAGTACAAACTAGAAGCTGTCGGAGCGACATTCCTCTGAATGCAAATTTTAATGACCCCCCCCCCCCTCGGTCAGCCCAATGTGGGGCCAACGAATATCGGGAACAGTGCAACTGGTCTGAAGCCTTCGTTTTGGAAACGTGACGTTTTCAGATCCACCAATAACAAACTGTCAAACTGGGGAAATGACCGAACAATCATTTGTTTACGTATATAGATCGATAAACCATTAACCGAATGAGTCATAGACAACCATTAATCACAAAACGAATTTTTGCTTGTCTATGTGTAAGTCAGACGTACAGCAACAGAATGCATGGTAATGTGAAAACAGCACGTAACTGATAGTCAAACCGACTAACTCAGTAAAATATTGACTGGTCAACTCACTGGATAATCATTAACTATCTGTTTACGTAACTGATCGACTAACTTGTTAATTGATTGACAAACTAATCGGATGATTAATTAACTTCGTTACTAGTTAAATCTCCGATTGATTAACTAACTGACTTAACTGACCGACTAACTAACTGATTAATTAACTGGCTGACTGACTAATTTATTAACCAGATTACTAATTAGAAAAGCTTAACCAACTGACTAACAAACTACGGTAAAAAGTAACCATCTCCACGGTCTTCATTGTTTCCTGTTGGTATGGAACATGAAGATTCAAGTTCATTAGCAGCTCAGTCAGTTCCTATATTCATCTCCTTCTTCACTAAAACACATTTAATGTCATCCTTCTACTGTCTTCTAAGAGCTCCAGAATTCATACATCTATTTCACACCTTATTTATAATGAAATCTTATTCATTCCCTGATATGAGGGAACCATATTTTACAACTATGAAATTTCTATACATACAAATGGCTTAAATAAAACACAATTTATGATTTTCTGTTGTGATGTTTCGCCTTGTGGTTATGAAAGAAAAAGTTTCAGAGCTGCTTACTGCCTCCGTCATCAGATTACACGGCGCAACAACCCAGAACACAACTTCACACTCGCGGCCATGAGAACCTAAAATGTCGCCTCGTAAATCACGCGTTTTTTTAAAACAAAACAAAACAGAAAACACGCTTTACTGCAAATGTTATCAGTCATGACGTGTTTCTCGGCGTGTTGCGCGTCACCTACTGACAGGTGTTCCTTTTTTTAGTATGATATTTGTTACCGCCTAGGAGGTAACTTGAAACGACTCGGTATAAATATAAAATTTATACCGAGTCGAGGCCTGCGCTGCGGGAGAATCATAAATCAAAAACTTTGTTTAGACGAAAAGAGTACGGGCCTGTGAGTTCTAAAAGCAATCGTGATCCTTAAAAACTCCACGTCAACACTTTAGGGAACTGGAAATAACTCCATATCCTCATACATATCGACAACCACTGAATGGCATTATCTGTTCTATTTTACTATTCAAGATTATTTTCAACTCTGATTCCCTTATCCAGAACCAGATTAAAGCATTCCACACTCTCATTCCCGCCCTGTGTATTTAACCCTTTGCGGTCCATTTTAAATACCACTACTGCTCTCTGCTGGTCTATTTAAATACCACTAAGCTGTTTACATTTAACTACTATTATGAACTGTTTTGATTTTCTTTTATAACTTGCATAAAACGGAAGACACTTTGTTAAATATGGTGAAAATATGTTCTGAGAGGATCACAATTTCACTTGTATGAATACTGACCGTGTGACATATTTTTCACGGACTGTACCACTGTCGCTAGTGAGATGAGTAATAAGTTGTGCCGTTCTGCTTGCTGTCTTTCCGTAGAGAACAAAGCAAGTCCAAATCCGTAGATAAGACTTTGGCGACGTCTAAACATCTCTTATTGCATGCCAATATATGATGCATTGGATTTCTTGGTATCAGAGCTATGCTTCCTGTCGAGCTGATTGTGTTCGAAAGCTCAAGACCAAGATCAACACCATGAAAGTGAAACAGAACGCGAATTGTAAACGATGAAGTCACTACACATAAAGAAGAATATGCACATGTCAGTGGTAGATTGCTCTATGCGCCAAAAATAATTTAAAAAATATAATTTCCTATTAGGAAGATGGGATATTTGTTTTATAATTTTATCAGATATAAAATACTTCTATTCTAAGTAAACATGACAGCTACACACACGATGATATTACGTCTCTATATGATGTATGGCAAAACACTTGGCTTCCTTCGACACGTGTCAGAATAAAACGAGTTGTCTCTCCTGCCTCTTTTAACTATTATAAGGGTCACAGAGTCTTACCAGGAAAACTAGGATAGAACTAGTGCGTAGAAGAAGGCTTGAATGATATGCTGACACTGTTTGCCAGCCTCAGTTTGACCCCAGATCACGTAAAGTTCGTAAAATACGTGGCGGACTCAGTCCGACAGAGACCGCTAAGGGTTAAAGACCTGTTTAATATTATCCTTCTTCACATGCCTGTGTCTACAGATTGTGACGTTACCTTTGTCCC